TATCTGACGTCGCGCGCGGGCGGTCCGGCTGCCATTGGCCAGCGCGTTTTCCTTTGCCCGGTCTTTCACATGTCAAATGGCGAGACACAGAGAGATGGAGAGATGGAGGCAAGGCTCAAACAATCCACTCCCAACCCCAACTTGCAGCACTGCGACACGCAGCTCGTGAAAACGTTCAATTTGTGCAATATCGCTTCGAATGTACAATTGGCCCAGGGATAAAAGGGGGGAGCATGTGTAAGTAAGACCAACGGTGCAGGCAACAGGCTGCATCGGGATTTCTTGACTTTGGGCCCTGTGTAACAAATGGCTTGCATTCGTCACTCCAACACTCACGCATACGCCATCGGCACTTCTCTATCTTACTCCTCTTTTCTCAACATTGCGCATGCGGATCCCGCGCCCACACAAGGAAGCGACAGCGAGCAGTGGAAGGAAGAGGAATAAAAAAACCGGGGCCGCAAGGCTGCGGACGTAGGGGGATGATGCATTGGCCGTTCTTCTGGCATGCGCGTGGGCATCGAGTTACAGTAGCGGATACGAAGGGGGAGGCTGATAAAGAAGTGATTTGACAGATTGGTCGTGGCCTATCGATAAGGGCACTTTCACATGCAACAAACACCCGCAACTCGTGCTCCCACCACATCCGCACACAAGCCACGCCGTTTTTAGCAAGGTCCCGCCAACCAAAGCTCAGTCACATCATAGTAGCGGCTGGGCCATTATAATAAGGCGAAGAGAAACCCCTTTGCACGTTTTGTTTTACTTTATTTGTTCCTCCCTCCCTCTCTCTCTCTTTCTCTCCATTCCGTTGCCCCCCCTCATTGCGGCTCAACAAGAACATAGCAGCCGCCCCACATTCACGTCTCATCCTACACGGAAACACCTCCCTCAGCCAATGGCACCGCACGCAACTGACGACGGCAACATGGCAACCAACGGCGTCCCTCTCACCAACGGCGACGTGCCCACCTCCAAGATCCTCTCGGTACGTCATTCTAACCCCCCTCGATGCGCCACTTTCCCAACGCCACACACACACACACTAACACACCTCTAGCACCTAAACTCGTACCCTGTCGTCCACGACAGTGTAGAAACATTCAAAACACATCCCTACGGCGAGCGCGCCCTCAGCCTCGCCAGCAACACGTACAACAACGTCGTCGCGCCCCTGCACCCTTACCTGCGCACCCCTTACTCTTACATCTCGCCCTACCTCGCCCGCGCCGATCAGCTCGGCGACAACGGCCTCTCAACCCTCGAGTCGCACCTCCCCATTGTCAAGGAGGACACGCAGAAGCTCAAGCAGTACGCCTACTCGCCTGTCAACTATGTACAGGGCGCATGGCAGGACGAGTACAACAAGACGCATTATAACAATGGTGTCATCAAGATGGGTGTTGCCGCCGTGAGCTTCGAGCTCAGGATGATTAGCGACGCTTGTGATGTTTTGCTTGCTTATCTTAACAAGGGGAAGGAGCAGGCGAAGAAGAAGGCCGACGAGGTTAAGCAGTAAGCTTCTTGCCATAGCCCAGTGAACTGGTGCTTTTCCTGGCTATCTGCTTCTTTTTTCTTCTCTCTCTCTCTCTCTCGGATTTATAAGTTCTCTACGGGCTTGCGCGGTAGCTGGGCCTATTTCATGGGGAAAAGCGAAAGCGTTGTTGTTTTGCTGTTTTATGTCGTTGGCGGAGACAGATCGTTGTTCGTCCATTTTGCTGGAGCATGAATCCCGTTTTTGGGTACAGGTAGATTGAGTAATAACCATGATATCCCCTTTTTTCCAGAGACTAAAACAAGATGCCAAGGAAATCACATGGGTGCAATTGATGCTTCTGACATTTACCTTGACGCGATCCAGGCCTTTGATCTGTCATCCTGATATGATAGCGTCCCGTTCGCATTAAACATTAGAAGTCGGTCACATTACACAGTCTCACTGGTTCCGCATCATCGTAGTATCGCATCATCGTAGAACCATTCGCTAGGGCAGGTGAAAAATAAAGAGTACATGGGCGTGGCACTGCAACTATCAGCATCACCTAACACATCACGTCAACACCCAACAACCAGAAAAACAAGGCCAACGTGGAAACTCATGTGCATTTCATGAAGTTCGTGAATTGAGCCGGATGCCGGATTTTTCATGCTTTGATTATCAAGCCGATATACACGCCATGATGCCAGGCCGGATTTTGGGGTCCTGTCATCTTATGATATCCACCGACATGCTCATGCACAATTCTTCCGTGCCAAATCATGCCCATCTGCGCCCAGCCGTGACCAAAAAGGGAAAGCTTAGAACTGTAAGGGAGTGAAGAACCATCGGTTCTTTCCGGACTGGTATCGCTCCTCGAATGCCTTCTTGACAGTCTTCTTGGCCTCCTCCCGTTGCGAGACCTCCTTGAATGTGTCGGCAGAGATGACGCCCTTGAGGTTCTCGAGCTCAATGGTATAGCGGGTGGGCATGATGTGAGTGTCTGCTACTGTTAGTGCCTGCTCCTCCGACTACCCTCACATCCACGTACAGTTGACCTGCTTGACGAAAGGCTTGACCTTGCTCTTCTTGGCCTGCTTGGTCTTTGACATGCGGCGGGTGACCTTGGATGGGTAGGTCTCGATACCGGCAACGAGGGCGTGGGGGAAGGGGTGCGACTTGGTGCCGTTGTCGAGGGGAGAAATGATCACACACTTCTTTCCGGCATAGCGGCCCCGGGTGATGATCTAGGCGGACTGTAAGTGATTGCGATTGAGCGGGTTCGAGCGATTCTAACGTACGACAACGCGTCCGACCTTGAGGCTGGAAATGGTATGTTAGCAGCTGTTCGGTCGCATATTGCAGATTTTCCCAGGTGCAGGTATTGGCGCCCTGGGACACGTGTAGGCGAGCATCGCGGTGCGCCAATATGCATGCCGGGAGAAATCGTGCGTAGGATCGGGGAGGCACTCACAACTTCATTGTGGCTGTCGTCCGGGTTAGTGATGGGATACTTGGTCGTGGAGTTTGAGGTTGTCGTCAAAGCCAAAAAGCGCTGTGGGCGGTCTCGCTAGATCTTTTGGCCGGTGCCGCCACGCTAACCTGGCTAGCGGCGCTGCTGGTTGGCTGGCCCCACCCTTGCCTCTAGAAATCTCGCAGACCCGCCAAAAGTTTCGCGACGGCGACTCTGGACGACCTGGATAGCGACGACAAGCACCATGAAGATCAAAGCCCTCAGCCGGTCCACCGCCTCGACTCAGGCGCCTGGATCAAGTGTCTCCAAGGTCACTCGGAATCTCGATCCTAATCAGCACCCGTTCGAACGCGCGCGAGAATATACAAGAGCTCTCAATGCGACAAAAGTCGAGCGCATGTTTGCGCAACCCTTTCTAGGCAGTTTCGAGCCCGGTCATGTAGATGGTGTATACTCTTTCGCAAAGGACCCGAACTCCCTCGAACATTTTGCCAGTGGCAGTGGTGATGGCATTGTCAAAGTTTGGGATTTTACAAGCAGAGAAGAGAAATGGCAGGCACAAGCGCACGAGAACCTCGTCAAGGGCATGTGCTGGACGCAGGACAAGAGGCTGATAACTTGTGGTTCTGATCGCCAAATCCAAATGTTCGAACCTTATGCCCAGCCATCTAGGTCGCCGCCCAAAGCAACCTGGCACGGCAATTCAGCCTTTACATCCGTCACACACCATCGTTCGCTACCCACCTTTGCTGCTGGTTCTAGCGTCATTTCCATATATGACACATCGAGGACCTCTGGAGCTCCAGTATCAAGCCTCGTATGGCCATCGGTAAGTTTTGTCTTTTGACTAAGTGTATGCCATGTACTAACTGTATAAAAGGCCATCGATACTATCACAGACGTCAAGTTCAATCAGGTTGAAACGTCAATCCTAGCATCATGCGCCACAGACAGAGCAGTCATTCTATACGATGCACGCACAAACTCGCCTCTCCACCGCACTGTCCTTAACTTTGCTGCAAACTGCATTTCTTGGAACCCAATGGAAGCCTACAACTTTGCTGTTGCCTCGGAAGATCACAACGGATACATCTTCGACATGCGCAACATGAAGCGGGCTCTGCAAGTTCTGGTAAGCCCTTTGCTCAATCCAGCCTTCATCAGAAGTATTCACTAACACCAAACAGAAAGGACATGTTGCGGCAGTCATGTCGATTGAATTCTCCCCTACTGGCGAGGAACTCATCACTGGCAGCTACGATAAGACTATCCGATTGTGGGAGCGCCAAAAAGGCCATTCTCGCGATACTTACCATACAAAGCGAATGCAGCGCGTCTTCTCTGCGGCCTGGAGTCCTGACAACAACTACGTGCTCAGCGGATCTGATGACGGCAATGTTCGCTTATGGCGCGCAAGGGCGTCCGAACGACGCGGCGTCAAGTCATTTGCCTTACGACAAAAACTCCAATATGAAGAAGCACTCATGGAGCGATACAAGCACATGCCAGAGATCAAGCGCATTCACAAGCACAGGCATCTTCCTAAGACGGTCAAGAAGGCTGGTGAGATTAAGAATGAGGAGCTCAAGTCTCTTAAGAGGAAGGAAGAAAATGAAAGAAGGCATACGAAGAAGGGCGAGGTCAGACGGAGAGCTGAGCGTGAAAAGATGATCCTAGCGCGAGAGCAATAAGGTATCAAGAAGGCAATTGTATTACACTTTCTGCATAGCGTTGGCGTTTTGGTATTTTGTATGAGACGGGGATTACATGATACCACACTGAGTGCATATGGTATCTGAAAATAGATAAGAGTATATCGATAACTATGTTGACATGTTCAATGAACACTCACATGCCTGTATCTAACGTGAATTTGAATACGAGGTCGAGTCAACGTATCCTAAGTACCCCGCTAAGGCACACCTTTGCACCCATGCGGCGATTGCAAACTTGTCGGAAAAATCACGTTATGCCACTACTGCTCTTAAAAATCATTAAGTCTTACAAAACTCTCTGATCAACAACCCCAATATCCATACATTCTTGACAATGGCGGAGGAATACTTAAAAACTGCATCTTGGTGGTTCTTCGACTTGGACGACACTCTCCATGAATTCCGCAAAGCATCTTCCTCTGCTGTCGACGCAACACTACATCTGATCATCCAACAACAAACCCAGCAGCCCATACCACAAAAAGACACCATCACGTTCGCCGACCTAAAAGCAGCATACTCCAAAGTCCTCAAAGAAACCACATCCTCCGCCTTCACAGATGGCAAAACAAGCCACGAGTACCGCGCCGACCGCTTCAAAGCCACACTAAAAACCCTTGGTCTCTCGCCCACACCAAACCAAATCACAGAGATACTGGAAGTGTATGAAAAGATATTGACACAACATCTAACCCTAAAACCCGGCGCAATACCCCTCCTCAAGTTCCTTAAGCAACAAGGCAAAAACGTAGCCATCGTTACCGAAGGCCCGCAAGACGCCCAGCAACGCACAGTCGCTGCGTTAGGCTTAGAACCGTATTTTGATCGCTTGATCACTACGAATGCGGTTGGGGTGGCGAAGGTGGATGGGTTGTTTGAGAGGGCGCTGGAACTGCTGGAGGTTGAGGGGAGGGACGTGGTGATGGTGGGAGATAGCTGGGATAGAGATGTGGTGCCTGCGGGAAAGGCGGGGATCAGGTGTGTTTGGTATGCGGAGGGAAGTGGGGAGGAAGAGAGGGTTGTTGGGTTTGGGGGGAAGGGGGAGGAGAGGGTTGTTGTTGCGGATTCGTTGGGGAAGTTAAGGGGGATGGTTGGGGGGGTTGTGATGGAGTGAGAAAGAGGGTTGGGATAGCAGTGTTGTGTTGAATGCATTCTGATGTTTTGCTGCGTGCAAATTAGAAAATGAGATAGATTTGTGGGGTTTCATAAGCGTGTCTGGTCTTTTTTGCTACGATATCGGCATCGGAGTAGTAGTTCTCAATTGAATAGCAAACAATGAGGACAAATCTCGAACGTACATAGAGCTTGTGGCTTTCTAGCGTATACGCTGTCATAACTCTTCTTAGTCCCACTCTTAAGCACACATGATGTGCCATGTGAAAGATGTCAGCAAACCGAGCTTGTTAATTCTCATTTGTTTCTCCCGTTTTCCATTTATTCCACCTAAAGCCTCGCATTTTTCAGACTCGGATACAGAGCCTCCTGGATGCCCGGTGCATGAGTGGAAGAAGGGTGGCGGTCGAGGTGAGAATGCGAAATGATTAGTACACGGTCATGCTGTATACCACACAAGGCACATAGTGATAATATAATTCTATTAGCTATACCTCCCTCTAAATTTCAATTGATTGTAGTGAGGTAAGGATATGGTACGCCTGAGACTAGTACTGCAAACAGACTGCTGGGGGACCGTGCAGCAAGAACAAGCGAAGTGCACGACGTGGAAACCAATTCCGGATAGCAACGTAACACAGCACACATTCTTATTTGAGAATAGTACAGAGGAACACTAAGCTTTATCGAATCCGAAGTATGAATCTAAGACCTGCATACCAACTCGCCACACACACCCGGCTTTGGCACAAAAGCATGGCTTAATTACGGCACCCCGCAATGTCGGCGTGCAGTCTGCGCTCCTTCTTCAGCTCCTGGGGACCAGGATGCAGATCACTACCTATGAACTCGTACATCGTCTGGGATTCATGCAGCTGAACGAGGACGAGAACAAACAAGTGGCACGGTTAAGATCCAACCGGAAAAGTGGTTAGTCGTCGGCATGGCTTGGGTAATGGTTCTCTTATCGCCTGCATCTGACATGCTACCCTTTCTTTCTCTCTTGTGTTCCTTAACCCGAATTACAGGTAGCCCTTACCACCCCCCATGATTCTCATTCCCATTATCGTCTGGCTAGTATGCGCCGTGCATAGGTCATTGGCGAATTCGGATGATCTGAAGCAGGTCGTCCTTGAATTACACCCACTACTATCGAAGGATGCCGTTATCACATTCCCTTGGGATGCGCGCTGGGACGATTTACAAATCCGCGGGTCTTCTCCACGCATCTCTCCCAATTACAATGTAGTCGTTGAAGTAGCAACCGAAGCCGATGTGCAGACAATAGTTTCCCTTGCTAATCGGTTCAATGTCCCGTTTTTGGCTATCTCCGGTGGGCACGGGTGGACTACGACGCTGAATGAGCTACCATATGGCATTCAAATCAACATGAGAAAGCTCAATACCACGACGCTCAGCCAGGATGGAAAAACGGCGATAGTTGGCGGTGGTACAAAGCAGTATGAGATAACCCGTTCTCTCTTCGCCTTGGGTAAATACGCTGGTAGGTATAACCCCGTGCCTTGAGGTTTTTGGTCAAATGGTTTGGTAAGCTAATCGTGAACTGCTGATAGTCACTGGACTTTCGAATTGTGTTTCAGTAGCAGGTCCATTATTAGGAGGTGGCCACAGCCTACTCCAAGGTCAATATGGCTACTCTGTGGATGGCCTTGTTTCTGCACGAGTAGTTCTCGCCAATAGCGAAGTTGTCGAAGCCTCTCGAACCAAGAATGCCGACTTATTCTGGGCACTGCAAGGAGCCGGTCACAACTTTGGCATCCTTACTAGCCTCGAAGTAAAGACTTATGATATCCCATCCGACTGGACGGTTTATACTTTGATATTCTCGTCAGAGAAAGTTGAGGCATTATTTAGCCTGGTCAACGACTTCGAGGATCCAACAACGGAGCGTCCGGCAAAACTGGCACTAACCGGAGTGTTCATAAGACTTCCCGCTGTAGACCCAATCAACGTAGGTTATATTCTAACACCATGAAAATGGCGTAGCTAACTGCTCCTCAGCCTGTTGTCTTATATACTGTCGCATATGAGGGCTCACAAGCACAGGCTGAGCCATATGCTGCACGTTTCATAGCTCTTGGCCCCATCTTTACCAAGGTCGATATTGTCAACTATGTCGAACTATACACAGTGACTGGAAATAATCTCACCAGTCAAGCCTGCACACAGAATGAGAACGTTCTAGGAGCTGGAGTTTCATTGCCTGCTTGGGACATCCAGGGTGTTCGCAAAGCCTTTACGATATTCGGAGAATACACAGCTGATCCGCGTTTCAACACTTCCATCACGCTTATGGAGAATTACGGAATGCAAGGAGTACGCGCTATTGACGCTGAATCTACTGCTTTAGCGCCTGAGGAGCGCGAACTGCCCATCCTTGCGAGCGCAGTGATTTGGTGGGCTGGTGAAGACAAGGAAACAACAAAGGTTGCTGAGTCTCATATACATGCGATGCGCGATGCCCTATACACGGGTATCGACAAAGACAGTAGCAAGAAGCGACACTGTTACGTCAACTATGCAAGTGGAGATGAGTCAAAGCCCGAGGTGTATGGATACAATGCTAGACTTGAGAGGCTAGCTAGATTGAAGAGTGAGTGGGATCCAGAGAACAAATTCAGATACTACAATCCCATAGTCTAGATAGTACAATTATTCATTATCGAAAAGCTTTTATCACACAAGATATACACATTACTAAAGTCTAAAACGGGATGAATTTGCTGTAACCTCCAAACTGGCGCCAGCGCCGGAGAAAAAACATCCCAAGGCTATCTAAGCCACTTCTCAACAGCAGCATTATCGGGATATGAAATGCTCCCTTCCTCCATCCCAGGATCCCTTGGCTCAGGCGGCCAGATCCTCTCGCACTCCTCCAAGTGCCTCGCGATTGCGTCTTCAGTCAGTTCTACTGACCTCGGCATCGCCTCCTCCTCTTCCACCTTCTCCTCCTCTTCCGAGGCCATTCCACTCCGTGGCTCAAAAGACTTTGCAGCATAATGAAGCTGCGCCACCGAAGCGTTTTCGGTCCCCTCGACCTCCACCCTCTCGAACCCCCTCGTCGTCACCACCTCACTCTTCTCCCCAAACCCCCTCGAGAACCTCTCTTCTCTCAACTTCCACACCTGCACCTCCCCTCTTCCCTCCCCCTCTTCAATCTCCTCGACAGTATACTTGCTAGCAGTGACTGTCACCCCCTCCCACAACGCCTCCCGCGTTGTCCTCTCCCCGGAGAGGCTTTCTCCATTCATGAACAATCCTTCTTCATTACACGCCTGGCCCACACCAAGCCACTCCTTCTCCTCCAGCATAAACAGCCTCGCTAGCCGCTCCGGCTCGCGACATACAAAGTGAAGCGACCGGGCCGCCAGCAGCGCATCTCCGAATACGCTCCAGATATCCGTCCATGTGGTGGTTAATGAGGAGGATTTTGATGGGTGAATGATGACCTGGAGAGTCATCTTTTCGCCGTCATGGAGGAGGGTTTCCCAGTCGGACGGACCCCATATGGGGTAAGGGGTTGGAGAGAGAGAGGAGAGCGCTGTGGCCTGCGCTTCCTTTGATGTGAAGAGATGGGGGAGAGGAGGGGAGATGGAAGTGACGTCGAATTCTGCTTCGTTGAATTCGACGGTGCTGTTGCTGGGGAGGCTTTTCAGCCAAATTTGCTGTCGGAGCTCCTTTGGGAGCTTTGAGAATATGGTGAAGGAAGCCATGGTGGTTATGATGATGGTGATGATGTTTTTTTGGCTTTTTTTGGTCGCTGGTGATGATGTGGTGGTGGAGAAAGACTTTTTCAGAATGATAATGTGTGATGAAGATGTTCAGAACTGCCTGAGGAAGACAGAGGAAGATGAGCTTCTATTTAAATGATTCTGGAGTCGGCTGTCGGAGTACCAAAGTTTGGATTGAGGTATTATTCTGTCTTCAAAGCAGCTATGTGTCATTTAGGAGTTTGGTTGTGATCTCTTTTTAAATCTCTGGTTCACCCTATAAGTGATAACCTAAGTGTGATTCACTACATTGTATTCGTCTAGCTCTTAATACTAATTTTACACGCGATTCACTACAAGAGAGTGAACTGTCATTATCTCGCTAGAAAGTTCTTCCTGAGGGATTTAAAGGTGAAAGTAATTGGAAGTGAGTTCACTGGTCAGTGATGACTATTTTTAACTACACTTCACTGCAACCCTATCTTCAAACAGACTAACACTACCTTAATAACCCAGTTCTATCTTCTACATATCTGTTCTCGCTCATTTGCTATATTCCTTTCGCCTCAACTAAATAGCACGTATGGAAGCACAGTAAATGTAACTGCTAATCTATCAGCATTACTATCATGTAGTCGTCTGCACATTACAAGACATGTATTTCAATAAGAAAAAGAGTTGGCTAATATACAATTCAATTAATTTATGCTTCAAGAGACAGGACGTAATGGATTGTTATCATATATCTTGCTCTTCGTTCTTGCTGCTGATGTCACCATTTACCTCATGTCTCCTGTCAGGTTGACTGACACTGTTAGTACCGGATACATCGATTCAGTCATCAATCACTACCAATGCGTGCAACAAGTCTCTACAACCCACACGAAAAAGACACGTTTGCAAAGCACTCTTGCATAGTAATTGCAACGTTGCATATACCACACATGCACATTCAATGCACCAACATGTGAAAGAAAGCCCATTGCAAACAACAATCTTACCGTAAATCTATTCCACCGTAATCCTCCCACCACGCTCAACCTTCCCAAATCCTACCCGCCGTACGTGATCACTATCAGTTCGTCCGACGTTCAGTCCTTACTCTTCCCCATCCGGTCCCCCGTCCTCAAATCACCCGGCCGCCGCCCCTTGCAAACAAAAAACCACAGACCAACCTAACCCCTCCCTCCCTCTCCCCAACAACCACCCCCTGTTCCAACGTGCCGCTCCGCAAATGACAGTAAGATCCGCGACAAGTAAGTATTACTAGAAGCATCATCCAGAACCAGGGAGGGAGGGTGTACCTTCTCACCCAAAAAAAAAATTGACCGAAGGGAAAAACATAAAAAATAAAAAAAAACGGGGGTCAATAAATGCCCAAATGCAGGTTCAATCACCCCTCCCCATCTCGCTCACCGAAGCCTTACCCTTGCTTTCTGCCCCCCCCCCCCCCCCCCTCCGCTTCCAATCCAACCCCCGCAACCCAGCTCTTCCTCGCCGAACAACCCCCCTCCCTTATAAACTTTCCATATCTACCTGTAGCAAAGGAAATGCAGGGTCTCTCTTTCCTTCCGCCCACCAAACCCCTCCCCCCCTACATGGAAAAACCCGTTAACCCTATTCAACAACAACATCCAACATCCAACATGGGGTAAGGGGGAAGGCGGCATTGTAAGTATCCCCCCCCAAAAAAATTATATTACCGACCGAAACTTATCCAGTTTTTTCGTCCTTCATTTTGTTTTCAAAAGAGAGGGAGAGAAAAGCCAAGTAAAAGTAAGCGAGGGGGGGGGGAGGGGGGAAAAGTGGGAAAAATTACTACAACTACACGTATATGCAGAGCCGGCCCGCACCACGCATGTCAATTACTCGGCAGATTTGGTGCATTTTATCTATTCTGTCTACGTATCTGTGTGTATGTAGGTAGATGTACGGATAAAGTACACAGTAAGACTGTGTGTGAGAGAGAGAAAGAAAGAGCGAGAAGGGGTAAAGCCCACTCGCTTTACTTAGCTGGCTCTCCCCGCTGGGTTCCTCCGCCTACGAAATTACTTTCGTTTGTCTTTTGCTCGGTTCTATTGGCATACTGGGTAATGATCGCTTCATCTCGAGTGTGATTTCGCGACGACGAGTGTTTCAGGTGCATCATGTGTTCGCAGGCAAGATTGCCATTCTTTCTTGGTTTTGGTAGCCAAGAGGGGGGGAGAGAGAGGGAGGGCTAGTACTACGGACAATCGGAAACGAAAGGGCTTGGCATGCTCGTTTTCTGCTCTCTCTCTCTCTTTCTCTCTTCTTTTTTACCCCCCACCGTACATACGGTCGGGGTTTTTTTACCCCGATGTTTGTTATGGGCTGCACGTGAAATGTTTCAGGGTTTTGCGAACATTCAGACAGACTTTATTGTCTACATAACGCCTGTCATTAATCTGTATCTCTTCTTCCCAGCAGCCGAATATCAACTAGCTTTGTTTGATTCGGAAGTGGGGTGGGGTGCAACATTAATCGGAACAAAAACTTTTTTCCCCTTCTTCTTCTTGTTCTGTTTCTCATTTTCTTCCATATGCGCGCGCGCGGAAAAAACCGGCTTAATTTCATGACCCCATAAATGTCGACAATACGAGACGCGAGAACGAAATAAATGGATGGGCGCAGTGGCACTGCGTAAAGTAAAGCCGAGGATGTATTTTTTCCCCGAGAGCGAAAGGGACCCCGCAAAAGCCATTCCCCCCCCCATGCAAATTCATACGTACTGTACCACATGTCCGAATATTCCATGATGTTGATGCTTTTTAAACATGCATAACGTCATATGACTGGTACCCATCGAGAGAGAGAGAGAGAGAGAGAGAAAAGAGGCGCAGCGGGTCCGATACACGAGACAATGCACGTCTAAACTTGCTAGTAGGTGTAAGTCGAACCAAGGGCCCAGTATCGGTGGTTCACCCTTCTCAATAAGCACCGCGTCTCGGATGCGGGGGGTTTGCAAGCGCAAGGACGTAATTAGTGACACTGGGATGTGGGCATCCAGTTCGTTCAAGCTGATGCGATGGTTTGGCTAGGGGGGCAACATGGCGTGTGCGTGTACCATGGTTCGCAGGATGCGAACGGCAGCCACTCAAGACGACTACACGGACAGCAACTTCGCATCACTAAAGACGCTAGTTTTACCGTTAACCGCGCACACGTACCAGGCGCGAGTGGTCTCGGCCCGCAATGCATGCAGAGATTTTCGTGATAGATCAGCCCATTTTCCCAACCCCCCCAGCCCACACTGGGATAGCTGGTCGAGCGCGTTTTGGGTGCTCGGTATGTATCTTCGGATGGTTGGAGAAGCCGGGCGATGTTTTGCGTGCGGACCACGGTTGACGCGTGGCTAGTAGTCCCTACGGATGTTTGCTTACACGCAGGGTGGGCCTGAGCGTCATGATTTGTTCAATGTGGTGTCTAGTCCGATGGGATTAGCCATTGGCTACAAAACCTACCAGAACTATCTCGGCAGGAGCCTGTTATTGCCTGCCCTCGGATACGCAGGTAAGACCGACCACGCCTGGGCTATGATCAAAGTAGGCTAAAAAGCTCCCATGAGGAAAAAAAGTGGATGCTCTATGAGGTAGAGTTTCGGGCTAAGCGCCTCAAGATGCCATAACATTTATTGTGTTCAGATGGATCGTCCCGAGCGCACGTATGTAAAAGCGATGGCCGGGATTTAGCCAGCCGCCCATACCACTTTGTCGGATAAAAACATTGACGTTCCGAGTCAAGCGAATTCCAAAAAGCATGCTATACGGCACCATGTCATTACGCTATGGCATGATTACGGTTCGGCGTGCAAAGGTCACTTGGCAGCCGGCGCAGAAAGCGTCCTGGGATGAGTTCATGAGCAAAGGAATTAATTACCTGTTGGGGGGCATAGTTGGCCATGTGATACTGGGCCGTGCCAATATGCTAAGAGAAAATTTTTTTTCATAACCGTGATTCGAATCGAGACATGTACATTACATGTTGTACGGGCTGATTTGGAAGGTTGAGAGGTTGCAAATAGAGACGGCGGCAGGCTAAATGCAGTGTCGAACCCAAAAGCAGTCTATGCACGATTGCGCTCAGACAGCATGTTCTTAGAACAGCGGTGTCGTCTGATATAGGGCATCTCGAAGAAGCTACATGACGAACATCGAGTATTGCGTCAGCCACAATTAGCACAGTGGGAAGAGGCGCAATCGAAGTGACATAGCCCCAGGCTGCAGCACGCCCTGTAGCTGGGGCGGGACGCCAAGGCGATGCATGTAAAGCACGTCGGGCGGATCATGCAAAGGCTTGGTGACAAGCGGCTCTGCTGCTGCTGGTGCTGCTGCGAGATGGCCGCATGCTTTTTTGGCAGCCGTTATAATGCTGCGTGAGTAGACCGAGGCCGACGTTGCCGGACCAGTTTGTCACGATGCAAGGGAGAGGCGCAGCGGGCTAGTGCCGGAGCCGTGGTCAATGACTATTGAAGGTTTAGGTAGAGCACTCTACACCTAGAGCAGTAGATTCGCGCGAACAATGAATGAGTTGGAAGAGAAAAAAAACAAAGCCAAAGCCGAGAAGAGCGGTGAAGGGGTTGGCAGTAGGGCGGGAAGCAGCTCGAGCGAACAACGAACCCCTCACTTGGGAATTGTCTATTTGTTGAACTTTGTTGAGGCCGTCGAAGAGCAGGTGGAGTGGACGCGAGCAGTATGCGAGACCGGTGAAGCCGAGAGCCGACCAATGGCGCGGCCGCGTCGCACCCCACGAGCTGCACGGCGCCGTCGTGGCTAGCCTGCTCCGTCCACTTCCCGATAATGGCTCTACTGGGCTTCCTGACGTGGCCGGTGGTGATTGGCAGCCCCGACGCCTATCTGAACAGTCGAGCGAGCATGCGCCGCTGATCCAGCTGCTTCTTGGAGGCCTCGTTGCGTGCCAGAGAGAAAATGCCATTCTTGCAATGTACAATAGTACGTACATGTCTATGCCGGATATGCTCCACGCCTGCGCTCGACTCGTGCGCCGTAGAGCGCGGACGCGAGGGGGTCGGTGCGACTGCATGCAAAGGACGCCCGCTCCAGTGTCTTCCATCGGGTCCACTATTGGCATGCTAGTTGGAGGACGTCGAGAGCGGAGGGGGCGTCGCCTTAGCTGCCACCACGCAGGGCTCCCTTACATCACACGCATATGCAGGCGCGGCTCGCTGCATATGAGCTCTGGCCCGTCAAAGTCCAAGTGGCTGCATCGCGGGATTGCCTCACGCTGCAGGAACGTTGGTGCGGGATAGAGGCAGAGAGACAGAGGTGGTCAGAAATGGCGGCAGCGAGAGCTTAGTCCATGGTCTTTTGCCTTGAGCTCCTTGTCGCTGGCTCGGCCGTCTGTCCAGGCGGCTTGCAGGCGAGAGTGGACTGCGGCCGTGGCAAAGACCAATTCGGGTTGAGTACGCGACATCCGAGCCCAGATTGCGCTTTAATTATTGCCAGTTGGACAGGAATGGACACAGACCCCACTGCACGAGAACGCGATGCTCTCCATGACCAAAGGCTGATACATTCCTACAGCACACAAGGCGCCCGTGCCATGAACCCTGTTCGAGAGTATTGGAAAATAGAAGCTTCGTCATGTGCTGAGGCGATGCAGTGGCCTGACTCGCACCCCGTCTCCCATCCTGTATCTATTCTGGCCAGCTTGGTGGTGGAGGTCGAGGTGGAGGTGGAGGTGGAGGTCGAGGGACTGCAAGTAGCAGCAGGTAGCAAGTGCCAGGTAGGAGGTAGACACGGACGCCCGCCTTTCTCCACGATCCGCTCCCTCCCACATCGCGCCGGCTGCGCTGCACTGCACGTTTATTTCCACCGGTGCATATCTGCTACACGCCCTAGCCCACGAGGCCGCCGTGTGACTGCCACCATTAAAGGTCATTGTCCACACCTCTCTTCGACTACAAAGTCTTTTGTGTGTACACAGGTGATACAGCCCGGGTCGCTTGAGCGCTTCGTCATACCTCTTGCCCTCTAGTGCCCCTCACTCACACACACACACTTTTGCCAACCGTACTACGGTACTGTAGTCGAGTACCTGGACTTGTCTGTTCCCACCCAGCCCCCGGCCTTGGTTGCCATCAAGTAATGATGCCATCGATTTCCCGGTCACGTTTGCCTGATGATGCCATCAGTCGTGGTACGGCGTGGGCCAGCATGTTGCTCTCGACCAAACTTTTGGAGCGCATGCTCGAGCATCACGTCGACACAATGTTGGCAGTAAGTAAAGTACTAAGAGCACGGCTGTACTCTAGTATCATGTTGCAGCTAGCCACGACACGGATGCGAACTCTTGGTTTGGCGCCTAAGGCGATAGGTTGGGCTGAGGAGGTGCCAACTGTCAAGTCTGAGTGCATGGCCGCGGGCCTGCTTGTTCCAGAGGTCGAGGCTGGCACCGTTCGCATGGTTGGAGCAGGGATAGAGGCGGACTCTCCCGTGCGCCGTGCTACGAGTCCCGTGATGCACCGGGATGCAAAAGCCCTTGCCCGTCCTTTTTGAACATTGCGGCCATGGTGGCGCTTCGTCCGTATTGCTACGATCTGGGCTCTTGTTTCAGCTGGTCGAAAGGAATGGCCTTGTGATACGGCAACAACGCCTTGCCCGAGGTGCCGGGCCTAGACATCCCGAGTGCGAGACACAGCCATGGATATTGAGTTGCACTCTGTGAGGTGGGTAGTGCGGGTGGCTGTTGAGGGCGAGGTAAGAAAGCGTGACCATGGCTTGGCTTGCCCGCATGCGGCTAGCTCGGCCAGCGCATCTACTCACCGCAACTAACGGACGCCCTATCAAACCTTGCGGCGTCCACATCCAACGTCAAGCCCGTGTTACAGTCGGCACGTTTGTCAGTCGACTTTGCTGTCGAGTGGATGGCTTTGGGGCATTCAAGCTCCAGCGGTCATGGACGCGAGTGCCGCGGCGCTTGCAGTGGCAGCGCTGTATGGCTCGGCTGTGGCCCTTTGGTGGCCATTGTCCGCTGACATGACATGGCCGTCGTACACTGTCGAGTTTCCACGTTGCACACGCTTCACATGCTTTCGCTTCACGGGCTTGGATACCCACTCGACCCGTCGAGTGCATGCCCTCGTGGGGAACAGATGGCCGCTGGTCTGCCTCTGGTCTGGCTGCTTCCCCCCCCATCAAGCATGTCGACTAGCCAGCCAATGACGTGGGGGATGGCCAATGCCCAGTGATAGGTGGCCGGCTAGCTTGCACGGCCTACCGTCCGTCTATCCCGTTTACTGTCGGTCACATCCCTGCGAGTGCTGGATAGAGGGCATTTAGCCTATGGAGGGAATGTCATCCATCTATGAGACGAGGGCCTTTGCAAATTGGGCAGGCCAGATTGCTCCGTCTCACCAGGTATCTACAGTAGTGGTGGTGGTGCGGTTATGGGAAGGTAGGTAGGCAGGTAGGGGAGGGGGGAGAGGATGACGAGCATCGTCAGCAGATGAGGGTGCCGCGGCAGTTGATTGTGTTTCAGAAGGAACGTGGCTGTCCGGCAGTGCAGTGCAGCGGCGTGCAGTCAAGGTCAGTGCAAGTGCAAGCAGCAATTTTTTTCTGCTTTCTGCTTTTTCGAGCCATTGTGCAGTGTTTGGCTCTGACTCGCAGGCGCGCAAATCATACGTAGCAGGTGGGCGGAAGGCGCAGCACCGACTGCCGACAGAGGCATGTACTAGAAGGAGAGTAGTCGCAGTGGGCAGTGGGCAGGTGGGAGCTGGTAGGCGGTAGGATGATTTGAAGCTCCAACGTTTGAACTGTGCCCTTTCGGACTTTCAGTTGTTGGGACCTGTGTGTGGCCTGCGCTCCGCAATTACACACACGCACACGGTCCGGGACCGCTTAGTCAAGGCGGGCGGTTGCAACGACTGTTCCCTATCAATTGACCTAGTTTGCCCGCGGTGTGCGTTCGAATATCTCCGGCAGCGCTCAGTGGCTGCTGGATTCAGCCGTGTTATCCCCATCGGGAGGACAGCCGATGCCTCAGGAAGCGACGCTGGCGAGGAAAAAGTAGGCGCCCGCTAAATTTGGAGCGCGACACCCTTGCGCGCCAGGCCGGCCGTGAGAGGATGGGCGTTCAGGGAGTGGGGAAGACGTCGAGGGCCAGGCCGGGTCTTGGAAGGGCAGCTAGCAGAGGGTGGGCATGAGGAGGGGGCCGGCCAGCGCAGTGGCAGAACCAAGCGATCTGCTGGTGTACATGGGATCTGTCGTGGCCGCCGTGGAAGCCATTGTGTGGTAGAGAGTGCTACGCTCGCTTGCGTGCATAATCGTCGCGGTATGGGCGGGCAGGCCTGTCCCTGTCAGCAGCCCTCTCCACCCCAGCGCCCGTGTCAACCGCACCGTCGGCGGATCAGCCCAGTCAGCACGCAGGCGACATGGCCGCGTCCGTGCACCGTGAGCGAGCGAGCGAAACGGCCTGCCCTCTTGCTTTGCTCTTGCCCTCTGACGGGATTGCTGTTGCTGCTGTTGCCGCTGCTGTTGCTGCTGCTGGCGGCCCCCCCAGCCTGGTGCGCAAGCCGGGCCTGCCCCATGCCCGTCCATGCCCATGTCCATGCCCATGCCCATGCCCATGCCCATGCCCATGCCCATGCCACGGTGCCCTCGCGTTGTCCCCACCAAGCCCGATGTGAATTTAGATTGTGTGCTCGCAGCGGCTCGTGTGTGGTGTGGGTGTGGGTGTGGGTGTGGGTGGTGTGTCTGTGTGTAGGTAGTCGTAGCAGCAGCAGTAAGTATGTGTGCTGCTGCTATTGCTGCCATGCCATTCATCGCTGCTGCTACTGCTGTCGTTGCTGGCTGCTAATTGCTGCACCGAGTCCCGCCCCCCAGGCCATCTCCACCCTCCCGTCCAGAGCGGCCGTCATCTCTAGCCACTGTATGTACATACTGTCCTGTCTTATTCTGCTGCTCTGCGTTCTGCCCTATCCTGCCCCATTCCTGCTTGTCCTGCCTGTCCCGTACCGCCCTCCGCCTGCATCTCTTGCCCACGCACCCGTCTTCCCCCCTTCTGCATCACCAGCTGCTGGAGCCGCCGGCGCTGCAAATTCGCTCCGGCCCGTCGACGCAGCTACAGCGACAGCCTGCTCACCCGGAACAACTTGTCAGCGACGCCCGTCGTGCACTGATCCCGTCCAAAGCATTGGACGCGCCGTCTCCAGAGAAAGCGGCCACTTTGCATCAGACTGCTCTGCGGGCTGTGCGCTGCTCGCCTGTCCACCTCTGCCTCTTAGCTGCGGCCTGCCTGCTGTCGAGCGCTGCAGAGAATCCTGCAGCATTACCGACGAGAACGACTTCCTTCTCCACACCCACCACAACCCTCCTGCCCTCGCCATTGTCTCGCAGTCTTCGCGTTTGCTCGTTGAAGAAGTGGTCAGTACACGCTCTTTGCACTCTGCCTCACTCCCCCCCGTTGCTGCTCTGCCCACCCCCTCCCTCCCTTACCCCCCCAAGACTCTTGCTAGCCGGACTCGCCACCTGCGTTTCCCGTGCACTCGCCTATCGGTCGCCTTGTCTGGTTGGGCCAGCACTAGCTAGCATCAAAGGGCACATCCCAACCACCTCCGCCTCAATACCTCCGCCTCCCCACCGCAGTCTGCGAAGAAGCCCTTCGCTCGCTCTGGCTGTTCCACCTTCCCCCTTCCCCTCCATAGACTGTCGTTTTGCCGCCTGCACAGAGCCTTATTGCTCTCCTGCCCTTTAGTGTCGGCCAGTTCACCAGTGCTGACGCGTGTGTGCGCGCAGTAGCCTTTTCCTACGCTTGCAGCCGCTATCGCTATCGATACAGCTCGACCCGCATTAACGAAGCGCGACGACGTTACGACTGTTTACGACAACACTGCACTCTGCTCGACCCCGCAACACATGTTCGTGGCTTTTGCAGACATCTTCAGCTATTCTTCCAGGCCGGCATTTGTCAATTCGTCCCTTTGCGTGTTTTGAACCGAGCGCCAAAAGCATTGTCGACTACCCAGCACTTCCCTGCTTTACGACTGCAACGACGTAACGACTAGCTTTTCGAGACCCCAGCATTGTTTGCAGCGTTCACTTGATCCAGCAGCTTCTTGCGCGCATAGCCTTTTCCCGTCACGCCTGTTCGCAGCCGACTCATCCTGGTCAGTATCTCCACTTACCCTCATCCACCTTCTTCTTCTCCTCCTCCAAGACCGCAACCCTCCTCCTCCACCTCCTCCCACCGACCTCCCCGCTACCATGCTTCTCCACATTGCAGCCGTCAAATTTCTCCGTGTCCAGTAGAGGCTTTGGCTTGTTTGTAGCCTTCCTCACCTACCCGTGTCTCGTTGGTTCCCCACTGCAGTCAACCGATCAACCTCGCCATTCAAAGCAAACAACTAACTTGCGGTGTAGATTATTCGCTTCGTCAATCCTCTCGCCGTGTCAAGCCTCTCGCCGCATCCCACCTCACGTCGCGGGCAATCATCACATTGAACACGTGCTTACCTTCTCAGCAATAGGCTCGGCTCTCTGGACAACTGACTCGAGAATCTTTGCGCCAAACCTCTCAACCCTGGACACCAACAAAGCCTCTCTCTCGAGAACACGTCAATACCGTAAAGCTGGAGCTCCCATCGATCTCGTCGGTCCACGCTCGCGGCCCTGCTGACACTTGGTACCCATCCCATTACGCAACTAAACCTGCCGTCTCGGGTGAACGTCTTCCAGCTCTGCCTCAAATTCAGTCACACCCAAGCACGTCGTCAAACTACTCATCGCCTCGTGGTGATTCCATTAGCTCTGGTTCGGTGAGCGGTGGAAGTGCTAGTTCCAATACGTCGTACGCTGCGTCGGTCAACGGCCAGACTACCGGCTTCAAGACCCCCTCCCCCAAACATACCCCCCAGTCTCTGAGACGAGATTCGCAATCTCTGAACACGCAGTCCGTCCAGAGCTCTCCGTTTGGCACCACCCAGGAGGGATATAGCTTTGCTCCCAGCGGCTACAACAGCATGAACCAGATGCAATCGTATGCTGACGTGCATCAATCCCACATGGCCACTGCTGCTCACGCTCCAGCTTCGGCCCCTCCATCGGGGCTGTCGCACTACTCATACCCCCCACAGCCCTCAATGATGCAATCTCAACATCAATACAGCCAAGGACCACCTGGATACCCGCCATATGGCTACCCTGGTGGCGTCCCTTCGCAGATTCCAGCTTCTTCATCTATGAACCAAGCTATGGTACCCTCAACACTCCAACTACCAGGTTAGTTTTCCCTCTTTCTCTCTTCATGGCATAGTCACGAAGCTAACATGTTCAGCCATGTCGTCTGGTGCACCAGCTTCATCACTACCCGGCTCTCAGAGCTACCAGACACAGACCTTTGACCACACTGGTCAGGTTGCTCCTCCAGGAATGAAGCCTCGTGTGACTGCTACTCTCTGGGAAGACGAAGGCAGTCTTTGCTTCCAAGTAGAGGCCAAGGGCGTTTGCGTTGCGCGCCGCGAGGGTGAGTTGAAATTTCTCTGCTAAGAAATTGACCAGACTGACACGTTGTAGACAATCACATGATCAACGGAACCAAGCTTCTCAACGTCGCCGGCATGACGCGAGGTCGACGAGATGGCATCCTTAAGAGTGAGAAGACACGACACGTTGTCAAGATTGGCCCCATGCACCTCAAGGGTGTCTGGTTAGTCTTCACCTTGTTTGTTGATCTTATATAAGCTTATAATGTTCTAGGATTCCCTTTGAGCGAGCCCTCGAGTTTGCCAACAAGGAGAAGATTACTGAGCAGCTGTACCCTCTGTTTGTCCATGACATCGGTGCACTGCTCTATCATCCGTCTAACCAGACGAGGTCAAGTGTAGGGAGCGCTGCCATGGCTGCTGTAGACCGCAACCGAAGACCTGACCCTATGCAGACTCATCAGCGATACCTCTCCGGACCAGCTGCATCGCAGCCTCCGTCGCTTCACCACCATCATTCGATGAGCAACCCCATTGCCACTGCTATTTCTCAGCCC